GAAGTCACCATGGAACTCATTATTATGGAAAAAGGAGAGCTAATTTGGATCCATCCACAGGGGAGGTAACAGACTATAATCGATTGGGATTATGGTAAGTAGCTTCTAATGGCTCCCAAAGATTCTGCCTCCTGGTATTCAACCCTTAAGTAATCCTCTCCTCTTGAGTGTGGCCTGAACCTAGCGACTTGCCTCTAGCAAATGGAATACAGCAAAAGGGATAAGATGTCACTTCCATGACTAGGATGCAAAAGACTGACTTGCTGGCACTGCTTCTCTCTCTCTCTCTCTCTCTCTCTCTCTCTCTCTCTCTCTCTCTGGTGAAGCAAGCTTCATCTTGTTTAACAATAACAAATGAAGCCTAATTATACAGCTGATATTGCACCTTTATCAATGTCTCTAGGAAAACAGCAGAGCAGATTAACCTGTGGTAATTCTCCCATGAGAAGGGATAAAGGGTTTTGTTACCATTTATGCACAGTTCACTCCCATAATCTTGAATTATCACTAAGTTTATATCATGACCACTGGGAATTGCATTATCTAATAGGACATTGGTATTCTCTTCACGCCCTAACAAATGGAACTATTTTTTTTTTAGCTAACTAGTTTTTTTAAGGCCCACAACACATTTTTATTTTGGGAATCATAAGTGCAAAACAATAACAAGGGCTGTGTTAGCACTAAATTTAGCACAGTGTAACTTTAAAAAATTTTTTTATTGTATTTTTTTCCATTACCATTTATCCTCCTTACACCCTACCCCCATAATCACCACACTGTTGTCCACATCTGTGAGTCCTCTTTCCTTTTGGCTCAATCCCTCTACCCCCAACCTCCACCCCTCCCCCATAGCTGTCATCCTGCTCTCTAGCTATGAATCTGTCTCTATTTTGCTTCTGAGTTCAGTTTGTTCAGTAGATTCCACCTATGAGTGAAATCATATGGTATTTATCTTTGACTGGCTTCCTCCACTCAGCATAATGTTCTCTAGGTTCACCCATACTGTTGCAAAGGGTAAAATTTTCTTCTTTTTTACAGCTGAGCCTTTTTTCATCCAAAATTATAGCTAGTCACAATAGAACAAGGCTCTAATTATATCCTTATGGTTTTTATTTGTTTCATCGTCACCTGAGGAGGTTTCTTCATTGCTTTCAGAGAGAGAGGAAGGCATGGGGGGAGGATAGAGAGGAAGAGAGACATCAGCCGGTTGCCTTTTGCATGCACCCCGACTGGGGATCAGACCCGCAGCCTGGGTATGCGCCTTGGCCAGGAATCAAATCTGCAGCCTTTCAGTGTACAGGGTGACACTCCAACCAAATGAACCACACTGGCCAGGGCCTGGTTTGCTTTTTTTAAAAGCTCTGGTTATTGTCCTTTATAGTGTTTCAAACAGCCTAGCTTTAATGATCAAGTTTCTGACTCTGGGTTCCCCTTAGTTATCCCCAGATGGCGGCAGAGGGCACTGATTAGACTTTAGTTTGGCGTTAAATCAACAATCAGGTGCAGTGGCCTGACTTTATCAGAGCTCTCCAAATAGTGCATGTGACCTCCATCAGGGTCTCCTCTTGTGGCTGGCTTGAACATTAACCTGCTGCGTAGCCTCTGCCTGACCTTGTGGGCAGGCCCACAGGGGTGTGCTCATTCCACTTTCCCCTTCCTCACATGGGGCTTATATAGTGCACCTGCCTATGCAGGCCTGAGCCCTCCCTCCCCGACTCCCTGGCTCATTCTGAAGCAAACCAATGGCTCCACCGTTTTTATTCACCATAATTCTACTCACAAACACGAACTCTGTGGGCTTTATTGCCTGCCTCTGTCCATCTGCCTCATACCAGAGACTGATTTGGCTGGTAGCTACTGCAGCCAGGGTTTGTGTATAACCAATGCCTCCACAAATGACATTGGCTAAATGCATCAGGAGAATCATATTGTCAGCCCAGATGCAGCTGGGTTTCTGGCTGTGCCGCGCTGGTAAAGTTGAGCAAGTTCTATGGTGAGAGTTGAGGGTCCTGATTTGTAGTGTTTGCTGATTTTTATGGTGTAACTCTCAGCCATGGCCAATTTCAAGCTACTGTGATGTACGAGGAACTGGGAAAAAATACAGCCCACAATCAGTTCCCATAAGCTGGTAGGAGCTGGCTCCAGCTGGCCTGATTTTTGGTTAGATCTAATGTATTGTTGGTGAGGGGAATAGGCACCTTTCCTCTCTACACAAATTTACCCACTGTACTCATCTGCCCCTCAAAGAGAACAGTTACTCTCACTTACTTGCAACTTAGGGCCAGGACTAGGGTGAGGTAAATGAGGTGCTGCATGCAAACTTTAAGGAGAGACTCACTCTTAGGATCATGCAAGAGCAGATGCTGTGGGTACATGACCCTGAGACTGAGAATCTCCTTCGATTTTTTGTTTAAGCAGCCGAACACCTCAATGGCTACATAGCTTCTACCATTAATTAATAGGTGGGTCAGCCGCCCCACCCGGGCATGATGTCTCATCAGCACTTGCCCCCCCATTCGTTTTCATCTCATAATGCCTTGGCCGCATCGAGGCAAGATCTAAACGTCCATCCCACTTCAGGGGCCCCACTGCGATGCCCACTCTGCTGGACCGGCAGCCATGGCTTTGGGTTCAGCTAGATAATCGCACTCGTAAGACCCCAAAAGGCCATCACCTCACCAGCTCCGCAGAAGAATGCAAGGCAGGAAGCACAGCACACTATTGAGCAAGGGGACAGCATGAGAGTCATCCCTGCAGTCTGAGTCCTTACAGCAGTCCAGGGCTGTTCGCCACAGAATGATGCTCAGTTATGAGGAAACAAGGTTACACAGGTGGGTGCAGGCACCCTTCTAACTGGGTAGCCTCGTGCCACATCACCTATTTGTCACAGAAGACAATTTATCTCTTTTACCCATATACCAGTATACCATGAATGTACTGCCAGGACTCAGCAAAAGGAACGTCCGGATACGCTGCAGTACATTCAGGAATGTCCCATACTATGGTTCCCCTCCCCCAACTGCTTCCGGTTCCTTTTCAGTCCTCCCAGATCAGATGCACATTACCAACTAAGGATTAGGTTTACCACTAGCCATTCCACTTTCAGTAGATTTCAGGGAAAAAGTGCTAGAATAAGATCAACAGGAGGCCATTTTCATAGGGGGAAGTAGAAAGAGTTTTGTTAACCCTTTGCTCACATACACCAAGGCACAACATCATAACATTTCAGAATGTTGACGATAAGGAAAAATCTTAAAACCGTCCCAAGGGAAAAGAAAAAAAAACAGGTCTCATTCAAAGTTCTCACAATTAGAATGGCTTCACATTTTTCAACGGCAGCACCAAAAACTAGAAGACAGTGGAGGAATCCCCAAAATTCCTAGGGAAATAACTTCTGAAACAGAAATGCAAATATACACAACCTATTATTCAAGCCTAAAGATAGGTTTTTTTCAGACATGCAGTCTTAGAAAATTTGCCTCAACGTCCCTTTTCTCAGAAAACTTCCAGAGAACCCTTACTCCACCAAACAAAGGAGTAATTCAAGAAAGAGCAAGAAATCCAAGACACGGGATTCCTCACAGGGGAGAAGAAAAAGAAAGTCTCAGAATAGTAGTGAGGAGAGATTTCAGGATATTCAATAAGCCTAGAGAGCCTGTCATACAGCAGGAGGATGGGGGAATACAGAAGGAATAGGTCCAGAAAAAGAAGAGAGAGTATTGGAATGTATTAAGAGGAGAGTTATATTTCTAAGGATTTGGGAGTAAATTACTGATGGGATATAAAAAACTAAAAAAACAAAAAAAAAATCATACCACTAGTGACTCAAGGGTAAAAGAAGTACTTAAAAATGTACCAGTCTTTATTACACGGGGAGAATGGGAAGAGGGAAATGCATGGATATTGAGGAGGAGGGTGACGGTTATCAGAAACTTTAGTTTCCTTACCTAACAGTATTTCTCATTCCCTTCTCCTTTGCCTCCCTGGACTACAGAGATTGGAAATGCTAATTACCCCCTTTCCAAACTTTTCTTGTAGTTATGAATGATCATGTGGCTGTTCCAGTCAATAATATACAATCAGAAGTCTACTAAGAGTTTCTGGGAAAAGGTTTACTTTCCTGATTAAATAGGAAGATTTGGCTGCCATCCCTCTTTCTCTTGTTTTTGTCTTAAATATGGATTGATGCCTACAGTTACAACAGTTGCTCTGCAAACATGAATCAAGAAACCAACATGCTAAGACTGGTGGAGCACAAAGAGCCTGAGTTACTGATGACATAGTTAAGCCACTATACCAACTCTGGGCAACCTATTTCTAGATTTCTTACTACAAAAGAGCAATCAAGTAGGTTTTTTATTACAGCTAAATGCAATAAAGAACTCCTAATTAATGCATGGCGTGTGAGACCTAAATATTCATCCTCTATGACGTCAGCAGATAAAAATCAAGAAATATGTTATTTCCTTAGAAACATGACAATAAGTACCTGGGGAAAAAAATAGCTAAAAAAAAAAAAAGTTGGAGGTCACCGAGGAGTGGCGAATGGGAATGGGAATGGGTGGGAAGGGGTTGCTGTTTTTCATTGTAATACTTAGAGTAACATCCTGGGCCAGGTACTTCTTTGTTGTGGGGGGCTGTTCCATGCACTATTTAGTAGTGCTCTTGGCCTCTACCCAGTGGATGCTAGTAGCAACTAGGATAGTAGTGACAAGTGAAATGTTTCCTGCCATTGCCAAATGACCTTGAAGGGCAAACTGCCCCTTGGTTGCGAATGATTATCTTACAGAACTATTTTATTTTTGTAACTTTCTATAATACTGCGAATGTATTACTCTGATAAAATTACATTTTGGAAAAAGAATGAAAGGAGCTAGAGACCACCACTGTCATTTCTTCTTTCAAACGCCTCCCAATTTCCTTCCTGACCTCTCCCTGGTCCTGAGAGTCCCACTCTTTCCCTCCCAGACAAGCACAGACAGGAGAGAGACACTTACCTCCTAGAAATGCACACTCGTAGTGGCTGCAGGTCTTGTTTGTGCTTTGAAGGATAAGGTTGTTGCCAGCCCCATCCTGCGACACATGAAAAACCTCATTCAGGGGTATTAAAATAATTCTTTCATTTTCACTTTTTTTATCAAAAAATTTTTCAATGGCAACTCCAAAGCATGTGCGAATGGTTAACAGAATGTGTTGGTCACTTGCAGCTTGAGGTTTGGCTGAATATGCCAAGGTGAAATGGCCAAGTCTGGCTTGGTTTAGCCCTCCAAAGGTAAATGAAGTGCCCTGGCTTGTGCTATACACCACATTTTTGTAACTCTCTTCACAAGGTCTTCTCAGCAACTGCAGAGCTTTTGTCAGGTAAAAATGAAAAGCTTTGAACTGGAAGCCATAGATATACTCTTTTCGAGACTGGCCAGCCGTCTTCACAGCTTCATTGAATAGATGGTAAAAGTGAGTTTGCTCTTGAGCTTCACTGATATATGCCATCAAGGCTATTCCATGGTTATCCTTAAAACTCATAGGGAGAAAGATCTGAGTCTTCCGAGCTTCCCATTTGGCTCTTGCATTTTCCCACACATCTTCCAAAAGCTGGTGGCTTGCTTTTTCTTCCTTGAGCAGTTGGGGAACATATTTGATTTCCATCCTGTCAGTACATTTCTGGTATTCGTCATCAAATGCATTATCTGCCATGTCTAACGTATTAGCCTTCACCTTGAAGGGAAAAGGAAATACTCTTGAAATAAGATATTTAGTGTGTCATTTTCTCTCATATTACTTCCTCCACAATCTTCCTGCCAAGAATCTCTCCCTTGCTTACAACTAACTTTAAATATAAATAAAAATAAATAAATGAATGAATATATATAAATGTAGGAAGTATATTCCATTGTTATTGATAACTTTCCAGCAAGGACCTATTTGTGTGAAAGAGTAAATGTTAATAGGTGAGATATGGGTATGATTATGCCTGTAACTCATTCATTAAACCTTGAAGTGCAAAGGAAAAACCAATGAGTATAATGTTGAAGAAGTGCATGGCAGTCCTGGCTTTGAAAATATTTTTAGCCAGACTTTTTCGGCTCCTCAAAGCTGTTGAGTAAATATGAAATATCATGCATGAAATACCATATGTAATAAATACATAATGGCAATTATCACCCTATTTCTTGTAAGGAGACTCCCTTCCTTGTCCATATGGTTTGGGTAGGATTGATTCTGTACTTTTAACCCCAGTGATAAGCAATGAATTAGGCTTAAAAACCAGAACATTATTTCCTTCTGTACAACTGTAAGCTTTAAGGATAATAATGACTTGGGGAAGTGAATAGTTAATCCTTTTACTTCCAAGGAGAATCCTGCCTGGAAATAAAGTCAAAGAAGAAAGGCCTGCAGAGCTAAGAAGTGGAGAGAGAGATGAAGCCCTGGTAACATTACTTAAGGCACTGGATCTAGCTGCACCTGAAGACTGTATTTTACCTTAGTCATAAGAAGGAACAAATGCCTATTTGCTTGAGCATGTTTGCATTGTTTCTGCTATATACAACTGAAAAAGGCCTAACCCACCTGTTAGTGACGCATGGTATTAGGTAAGAAGCAGGGTGGTGTAAGGTAATTAGCACTAGCTTGGAGTCAGACAGGTGTGGGATCAAATTCCATTTCTGTTACTAACTAGGCACTAATTGGGTATGGGAAAATTAAACGACATTTCTGAGCTTCAATTTTTTTCATCTAAAAATGGGAATAAAGTAAGGAAATGATGTTTTCTTTAAAAGATTTCATTTATTTTTAGAGAGAGGGGAATGGAGGGAGAAAGAGAGCGAGAGAAACATGGATATGTGAGAGAGACATCAATCATCAGCTGGTTGCCTCTTGCACGCCCCCCACTGGGGACCTGGCTGGCGACCCAGGTAACCTTTCACACAGGCAACCTTTCAGTGTGCAGGCCAACACTCAGTCCACTGAGCCACACCAGCCAGGGCAGGAAATAATGTTTTCATTGTAGGGTTGTTGTGAGAATGAAATGATATAATGAATATATGCAAAGTCTTGGCTCCACACCTGGCACATATCAGGCCTTCAGTAAACTGCAGTTATTTTTAATTGTTTCATGATAGAAATATATGAATTATACTATAAGTTCCTCAAGGGTAGGCTCAGCATTGTATTTATCTTTCAAAGGCCAGGCATCTAAGTATTCAAGTGAACTAAATAAGAACCTTGTACTCTGGCCTATTGATCAAAAAATAGGATGAGCAAATCTGCCCAGAGACGCCATTTAAGGGTTTCTACAAACAGAAGGAAAATGCCCTCCACATCCTTCTCTCTTTCCACTCTTCTATATTACTTTTATGGTACATTGGTGGCATCAGCTATGCTCTCAGTTGGTGACCTCAGTTGAGATTTTATAGACACAAATTGTATAATTTGTCTGGAATTGAGATTTGAACCTGGGCAATCTAGCTCCCAAGTCTGTCCCCTTAATCAAAATGTTGTTTCCAATGATGAAGACCACTGAAATTTATGTAGCACTTTTTAAAAAAGGGTTTACTTTTGTTCTTATAACAGCCCTTATGAAAGGCTGGGCAGAAAATTCATACCATTTTACAAACAAAGCAATTATGCTGGCATCAGGCACTATCTTTCTTGATTACCAGCCACAGGATATTCTGCTGGGAAAGACCCTTGTACTCCTGGGTTTGTAAGTCAGTTTCTTGAAGTGGAAATTTGAACTTCAGGAGACTGAATCATTGCTGTCTCCTAGCCAAGAAATTTACTTTCCTCTGTAGCACAGAATGTACCAGAGGGTATCTTGGGCACTGAAGCCTGATTTATCTTTGAGACTTCAAATATTACAAGACATCATACCCTGAAACCACCACCTCCCACATCCCTTATATCATATCATATCATATCATGAGTTTATTCGATATGTTCCTGTCTGTTCCATGCCCCAAACCAGTCTGCATATGTCTAATTTTAGACATCAAGTCTTTCTGGCCCAAGGCCACAGTTGATTAATGTTCTACACAGTGAGTGCCTTGAACAGTGAGAGAGATTACAAATGCCACCACCATTCAGGGAACACTGGATGAACATTAAGGGGCAGGTATAAAAGGTTAGGAGAACACACTGCTTATATATTTTCTTCTCCAATTTGTCCATTGAAACAAAGGTGAATACTGATGAAATTCAATTACCAAAATTTTATTACAAAAATGTGGAAGTGATCTAAATGTTCAAGAAAAGAAATTATGGAAATTCATAGAAGAAATACCTTAACATTGTGTTGCAAAAGAATATTAAAAATGCAAATCAAAACCACAGTGAGATACTACTTCATATCTAGTAAAGTGGCTATATTAATAAGGCAATTAAGTGTTGGCAAGGATATAGAGAAAGTGAACCCTCATACACTGCTGGTAGGAATGTAAGATGGTACAGCCACTGTGGAATATAGTCTGGCAGTCCCTCAAAATGTTATACATAGAGTTGCCACATGGCCCAGCAATTCTACTCTTATGTGTATACCTAACAGACTTGAAAACATATGTTCACACAAAAATATGTATGTGAAAGTTCACAGCAGCACTACTCATTCATAAGAGCCAAAAGGTAGGAAAAAACCCAAATGTCCATAAATTAAAGCATGGATAAACAAAATGTGGCATAACCATATAACAGAATATTATTCAGCTATAAAAAAGAATGAAGTGTGGAACACTAATATATGCTACAACATGGATGAACCTTAAAAATGTTATGCTAAATGAAAGAAACCACAGAGGAAATATCCAGAATGTCTAGAATAGGTAAATCCATAGAGACAAAGTGCAGACAGGCGGGATGGCCAGGGGATACAGGGAAGAGGGAATTGGATCTGACAGCTAATTGCTACAGGGTTTCTTTTGAGGGTGATGAGAATGTTCTATAAGACAACATGGTGAAACTATGCACAACTGGTGAATCTACAAAAACCAATGAATTGTGCACTTTAAAATGGTGAATTTTTATATGTGAATTATATCTTAATTGAAAAATCACCCTACAGTACAGGCAACATAATATATAATGATTCTATAGACAATGAATTAGAATATTAATTCAAAGATGGATAAAATTTCAAGAATTCAAAAAATTTTAAAGGAGGTACCTCAGATCAGTGGACAAATACTCAGTAGTGATGTAATAGCTAACAATGTGTGTGTGGGGGGAGGGAAATTAAGTGAGATATCTGGCTCATATCTTACGTAAAAATGTTATAGAATGTTAACAAAAGTAAAATAATAAAAGTTCTATCATGAAAAATTGTGAATGTGAGAAAATGGTCATTATATAGTAGTTTTATAGAAAACATGTAACCAAACACTGCAGTGTCATCTTATTTATTAAAAAATACATATTTTCAACAATATTAATGACATAGACATTTGTAGCATAGAATTGACTTAAAAAGATAAAAAACATATGTATTGTATGAGCCCATTTTGTAAATTAAATACACACATGGAAAAAAGCCAAGAAGACTATACACCAATGGATTAAGAGTCTTTCCCTCTGAGTAGAGAGATTGTGGATGATTTTTACCCCCTCTTTTTGCTTGATTTTAATTTTTCAACTTTCTATAATTAATATGTATCAAATACATAAATGAAAGATGAAAGCCACTTGAAAAAACTGATTGATCTATTTTATCTGCTCTCGTTTGCATTAAAACCCACACAGATGCCATTCATAACATTACATCAAGAGTTCCCAGTTTAATGGCCACGTACTTCCCATTCCCAACATTACCTGGAAAATATCCATTAGAACCATAGCTGACAGCAGCATGGTGACCATTTCAAAATGTCCTGTCTTCATTTTTCTCTTCTAAATTAAAATGAAGAAATTTCAATTTAGTAGACTTAAAAAAAGAGGCCTAGGGAAGTCAAGTAGGATGATACACTAAATTTGCATTCTGGGCGAAAGTGGGTAATATAATGGTCAGAATTATCAACACATTCCAATGGCTGAAAGGGCCTAGACTTAGCCTGCTGGTCAAACAACCTCATTCTGCAGATGAGGAAACAAAAGCTCAGAGAACTTCAGCCATTTCTTCAAGATTAAACCTTTCCTTTTTGAAACATTCTCCCCTAGATACATTCTCTTTCTCACCACAGTCATGGTGCTTGTACTTTCTTGCTTGTTTATTGCACTAAAGCTCAGCATACACAAGAAATTAACACCAACTAAAATAAAACAAAAACAAAAACATTTCAAAACTAGTCCCCGAGCCCCTAGTTTCCAAGAATTTTCCAAGACTTAGAGCCCATGTGCCTCATCCACTCTTCAACCTCACTGCAAACCAAGTTAAGCCCATTCAAGTAGGATGAAGGAGATGGTGAAGCCAGTAGTGGAACAAAACAGATTAGCCAAGGGGACCTTCTTCCCCCAAATATTCACATTCAAGAAAAGCCCAAGGATAAATCAAGTGTCTTGCATAACTTCCTGAAGGCGGGAATGAGAGTAAGAAGGAACTGGGTAGGCAGTAATTCCAGTATGATTATATAACTCTGCTCTGGCTGAATGCCCAATATTCATCCCAATGTTTATGAGACTGAAAGGGGTAAGTTGGAGGGCAAGAGGCCCCAAGGGCTGAAGCTGTCCCAGGGTCATGAAATGATTCAATTAACGGTGGTCTACAGTTCCTTCCACATACTCAAAACACAGCTGACATGACTGGTACTGAACTAAAATTTCTATTTTATCGTACCGGTCACCATATTCTAAGCATCTGAATACAGGAATGAAAGCACAGAGGAAAAGAGATAGTCTTCCCTTTGGCCCGAGATTCCCACCTTTATTTAGGAGTCATTTGTTTCACGAAAGATATTAAAGTTTAGTACCAAAAATGCCACTTTTGCGTGTTCAACTTCCCTTTCTAAAAAAATTTGGTCTGTATGACTTGGCAGACAACTGTCACAAGACAATATATGTGCCAAGGAAGCTTAGAAAGCAGGATTTTAAAAAAATTTTTCCCTTCTGTAGTCTGAATGTAAATAAGTAAAAATGTTTACCTGGCTTTTCTGCCTGTGTAGGAGATTTAAATGATGCTAGGTCTCAAACTGTCTCCCCACTCTCTCAGTTGTGCTGAGCGTGTCTTCAGCATAGGAGGTTGTTGACAGTGAGAGCTGGGAAGGGAATGCTTTTCTTTTTATAAACACCCCCAGCAGTAGCTTGGCAGTGGCACATTACCCCATTTGTGTTCTGCTATTTATATCTGGCCCCCACACCATCCCTTGGAATCACTACTGTTAACACATGAAATCTCTAAGAGGCTTGTAAAACCACAGCAATTCCCTCTGACCACACAGCATGTTCAGTTCTGAGCCCTCAGTTCTGGGCTTCTCAGAGAGTGATCACTTCCCATTCCTAACCCTTTGACTCTGAGATGTCAAACTAAAGCCAGACTTTACCCCAGCTAGATGGTTCACATAACGAAGGGGACTTGCTGTGTTGATCGCTGGCAATGATGATGGCTATCATCATTCACTCAACAAGCTGACTATGTTTCAGGTACTGTGCCAGATGCTGGGATATGCAAGCAAGTAAAACAAAGTACTGAAAAGCATTCACAATCTAATAAAAGATATCAATATGTATACTTAACCAGGATACATGTTAAGATTCTTAAGTATAGACAAAGTCTACTGACAACACTAAGAAGGGAAGGATTTGGTATTACCTGCAACTATTAACTCTCATCTGAGTGAGGTACACATCGTAAATATATTGACTGTAATGCTAAAGAGCATTTAGAGTTCACTGACTAGGTAAGAAACCATAGAGTGTCCTTGGAAATTCATGCCTATGTACATCAAAATACATTAATCAATTGTATTAGACAGTAGCCTTATTCATAATAGCCCAAAACTATAAACTACCCAAAAGCCTACCAATAGAATGGGTAAATTGTGGTATATTCATACAATGCATTTTGTATAACATTAAAAAAGAATAACCTCTAACCACATAGACAAATGTAGACAAATCTCACAAACAAAATTATGACTAACAGAGATACACTCTGTAGCCTTTCCGAACAAGGAAAGATTGACTTGAATGATTGGTGTGGGCAACAGATTTGAATTGACATTTCTCCAAGGACAATGTATGAATGACAAACAAGCAGGAAAAGATGTTCAACATCAATAGGTATCAGTAAATGTAAATTAAAACCACAACATTGCCCTGGCTGGTGCGGCTCAGTTGGTTGGAGCATTGTTCCATAAACCAAAACGCCATAGGTTTGATTCCCAGTCAGGGTACATGCCTAGGTTGTGGGTTTGGTACCTGATCAGGTGTGTTCGAGAAAAAAAACCAACTGATATTTCTCTCCCTCTCTCCTTCCCTTTCTCTCTCTCTAAAATCAATATGCATGTCCTCAGATGAGGATAAATAAATAAATAAATAAAATAAAACCTCAGCATATCCACTAGAATGGCTCCAATTTAAAAAACTGACAACATCAAATGCTGATACGGATGTGGATGGAGCAACTGAAACTCTCACACATTGTTAGTGGAAATGCAAAAACAATATGACTACTTTTTAAAACAATTTGACAGTTTTTATCAAGTTAAAATATAAGACCCAGTAACCTTAATCTTAGATATTTACCCAAGAGAAATTAAAGCATACATTCATACAGATTTGTACTCAAATGTTCATAACAGCTTGATTCATAATAGTCAAAAGATGGAAACAATCCAATTTTCCATCAACTGGTCAATGGAAAAACAAATAGAATCCTACTTTAGCAATAAAAAGAAACAAACTTCCTTCTTTAGATCAGTAGTTCTAAAACTGACTGTGGTAGTTGTTGCAAAATTCTATGAATATTCTAAAAATCTTGTACACTTTAAATGGATGAATTATATAGTATATGAATTACATCTCAATAATGCTGTTTTTTAAAATTTATTTTTTAAATCCTCACCCAAGGGCATGTTTCCACTGATTTTAGAAAGAGAGGAAAGGAGAAAGAAAGAGGGAGAAAGGGAGAGGGGGAGAGAGAGAGAAACAACAAAACATCAATTGATTGTCTCCCATATGTGTCCCAACTGGGAATCAAACCCACAACCTAGGCATCTGCCCTGATGGGGAATCGAACCTGCAACCTTTTGGTGCACAAACAACACTCTAACCAACTGAGCCACATGGCCAGGGCTCAATATTGCTGTTTTTAATGCTGTTTTTAAAAAAAGGAATGAACTACTGATACATGCAACATCACAGATAAATCTCAAAAGCATTATGTTAAAGAGGCAGTAACAACAGGCTACATACTGTATGATAATATTTAAATGATATTCCAGAAAAGACAAAACTGCAGTGACAGAAAGATAGGTAATTTCCAGGGCCTTAGGTTGAGGGAGGTGATGGACTACAAAGAGCATGAAGGAACTTTTTGGAGGTGATGAAATGTTTTATGTCATGATTATATGGTAGTTACATGATGATATGTTTGTCAAAAGTTACATAATTGTACACTTAAAATTGATTAATTTTATTTATATAAATCAAACCTAAATACATCGGATTTTTTAAATGTTTATTCTATTACAGTTGTCTCAGTTTTTCCCCCTTTGCCCTCTTCCATTCACCCCACCCCGCCCCCCTCTCCCACAGTCAGTTCCCACTCTGTTGTCCATGTCCATGGGTCGTTCATACATGTTCTTTGTCTAGTCGCTTCGCCTTCTTTCCTCCATTGTCCTCCTTCTCCATCTCCTCAGGTCACTTTCAGTCTGCTCCATGTTTCCATGCTTGTGGTTTATTTTGTTCGTTAGTTTATTTTGTTGAATAGATTCTACTTATAGGTGAGATTATATGGTATTTGTCATTTACCAACTGGCTTATTTCACTTAGCATAATATTCTCGAGTTCCATCTATGTTGTTGCAAAAGGTAGGAGTTCCTTCCTTCCTTCCTTCCTTCCTTCCTTCCTTCCTTCCTTCCTTCCTTCCTTCCTTCCTTCCTTCCTTCCTTCCTTCCTTTCCTTTCTTCTTTCTTTTCTTTCTTTTTTAAATCCAGATTGATTTTATTTATTTTTTAAATGTCAAAATCAATTATAAAATACTAAAAAATTTAAAACCATGATATAGTCTCAGCAATTACAACATGACACCAGCACAGAAATAATCAAGTAGATCAATGAAATATAATAAGCAGTCTAGAAACAAATGTATATATCTAACAATGTAATATATGATTAAATTGATATTTCAAATCAATGCAGAAAATAACGCTTATTCAACAAATAAGGTGCATGGACCACTATTAGTTGAAATAAAACAAATATAGAGCCCTATTTCACACATTATACAAAAAATATTCAGGTGAGTTAAAAATCAATATGTAAAATTTAAGGATTTTTAGGAGGAAATACCAAATAATATTTTTCTTACCCTGAAGTAACATATTCAAACCCAGAAGCTATAAAGTAAAATATTGACAGTATGACTATATTAAACATTTAAGACTATACAGTAATATACATATAAAAAAAGTTAAAGGATAAGTAATAGAATAGAAAACTATCTGCAACACATCTAAAAAAGAGTTAATAGTTGTTTTTCTTTTAGGGAAAAAATTCTACAAACATTTAATCAAAAAATGAATAAAGAATACCAAAAAGTCATTTAAAGCTTTTTTTTTTTTTAAATAGAAGTAGGTAAGAAATATACAGAAACAGGTTCAGTTTCAACAAATAATAAAGTAACAAAATAACATATCATTGTCACCATCAAATTAATAAGTATGAAAAATATTGGTAATATCAAGTATTGATGACTGTGAAAGGAACTGGGTATTCATAGACTCTTTTTCATCATCTTCTTAAAGCAGTCCCTTTAGTATATCTTGCCATGTTGGTTTGGTGGAGGTGTATTCTTTTAGCTTTCTTTTGTCTGGGAAACTTCTTATTTCACCTTCCATTTTAATTGAGAGCCTTGCTGGGTAGAGCAGTCTTGGTTGCACACCTTTGCTTTTCATGATTTGCAATATTTCTTGCCATTCCCCTCTGGCTTGTAGCGTTTCTGTTGAGAAGTCAGCTGCTAGCCATACGTGGTTCCATTATATGTTACTACCTTTTTCTCCCTTGCTGCGTTCAGGATTCTGTTTGTCTTTGATATTTGCCATTTTAATGATGATGTGTCTTGGAGTGGGCCTCACTGGGTTTCTCTTGGATGGGACCCTCTGTGCTTCCTGGACTTGTGTGACTTTTTCTCTCCTCCAATTAGGGAAGTTTTCCATCATTACTTTTTCAAACAGGTGCTCTATCCCTTGCTCCTCTTCTTCTCCTTCTGGTATCTCTAATGGATATTATTACATTTGAGGTCGT